ATTATAATTCAAATGATAACTACAATGTCATTATCCGCACAAACCCCACCTCGACTGATACATAAAATCAGTCAACATACTTTCACACCTTATTAATAGTCAAAACACACATCAATAATAAAAATAATGCAATAATATAACTGTAATTCATACATACTCACTAGTCAATAATAACAAATCTGTCAGATAGAGCTTGTGCGAGTAGATGATTCTGAGCCAGAGCTGCATTCCTCTTAGGACGACATGATGATTTCACTTCAGGAGTATAAACCTCAGCTGGTTACATGTTTCCTGGCTCCAAAACTTCATTACAGTGGCAATGGTTCCATCGTGCTACTGACTTCTACAGAATAAAGTAGCTGTATTGATCTGCAAAATAGCTTAGACCTCTTCCCTCCTGTATAGTCTCGTAAAATCGCACTCCTTAGATGACCATCTTTTCCTGGAATCGTTTCCTCCACCCTTTCAAGGTTCCAATATTCACTGGGCTTCTGGTCATAATGGATGACCTACTACATCTCCAATAAACATAAGTTCTGAGCGATGTCTTTTCATAGCATAATGAAAATGACTCTCCCGTAATCCTGTTAAAAATTCACGAGTCCATCTCTTGCAATACTTGCTCAAGACAGTATTCAAGTACTTCATTCACCTAGTCAATGTTTCAGTCGTAGCATTCTATGCATAATCATTATCTCCTTCTTGAAAACATAGATTATCAGGCAGATCCAATAGGTGTCTACCTATCATAAGATGAGACGAGGTTAAAGGTTCTTCAATATCATCAGTAGACAAGTATCTGATTGGACTAGAGTTAATTATTGACTCAATCTCTCTCACTATAGTATTCAAGTCATCATACGACAACATTTTGATAGTATACAAATAACAGAATATAAGAACTGTACCCGATTTAGTCTATTATCAAAGTAATTTCATGCTATTGCTAGGTATCAAAAATACCTCATTATAGTGGTATCGGTACTGGCAAGAAGAAAAGATAGCAGCAGTGGGCAGTAGGTCTTTACTTCTACAACTCTAGCCTACGCAAAATATATAATGTCATTCCTACTCCTTGATCTCTGAATCGAGTTAACTGATTCACTACAAAGAATCGTAACCTCTTTCATGATCGACTTTCCCATTCCAATAGCCAAGTAATGCCTAATTTCTTCATCCTTCAAGGCTTGTCGTGCAATACTTGGTGCAGAATCACAACATCGTGCTATTTTTTGACAAATGACCTATGGCAAGGAGTACCATGCAAGTACATTTTGGAGCCACTTTCATAACCACTACTAACCTACAAATAGAAACGCTTAAATGTTATTGTTTCAATGTTATTCAGTACCACAACAGGAGGAGATTCTGATGTAGATTTAAGGCAAAGTTTCTTTGTAGCTGAAAGCAGTTTCAATGTACCAAGTCCATGAGTAGCTCAACTCTTTCCAGAACTACAAGTAGTAACAGATGCCTAATCAATCAAGAAAAAAGCTTTAGCAGTAGCATCATATTAGCGATCCTCTTTTTTGTGTGAGTATCATAAGCTCTGCAACATCACCTATAAAGGTAAGAACGTGCAATCACCAAGTCCAAATCCAGCTCTGCATCATTCTCCTTGCAATGAATCACTTTAAAACAGAACTGGCAGGAGCAAGCACTTCAATGCTCCTTCTCCACAAGCCAAGCAATTAGTTGCCATTTTAATCATGTGATAGAGATGTGGCAATTGATGACGTTGACTAAAGATAGATAAACGTCACTCACAGCACAAATCTGCCATGAGAACAAGACTGGGGTACACGTCAAAGCAGACCCTTCCTCAGGTAAGGGTCTGGCAAGCCAGACTAAGAGAAGTGCTCTTCAGTCAAAGTCAATCTAGTGTACACTATAATTCTT